TCCACCTGGCTAGAACTAAGGTGAACTATGCTTCATTATTGAAAACGGAGTCTGCAGCCTGGAACATGGGTTAGAGGCAGATGTCTGGCCCCTAAGCCAGACCTGCTGGTGCAGAATCTGCATTTCAGCAAGCCCCCACACGCTTTCTGTCAAGGTGCAGTTTGAAAAGCCTTGACCTAAGGTATGGGAAAATGTAAACTGTTGGGCAATAAATGCCTTAGTTATCAGTATTGTTTTTGGTTGCCTGCCTTACACTCACACTCACTTTCACAGAATTGCACAAAATTTCAAAAGGCTGTCAGAGCACTTGAGAAAGTCCAAACATTTTACTTAAGACAGTGCTGATAGCAACAAGCGGTAATCCTAAAAGACCACTTGCATACTGCTGAAGAGAGCGTAAAAGGGCATAATCTCTTTGTTAAGTCATTTGGCAATGATACCAAAACTCGAAATACACATAAGCTTTGGCCAGTGACCTCCTGCTTTTTGTGTCCCTTCAAGGGTTGCTTTCACCAGCTGCAGTTTGAAGAAAAGTGGTCCCTTTATTCAAAGCTACCTCTGATCTGTTTGCCTGCGGTGCCAATTCATTGTGTTAAGTGTGCCTGGCTCTTGTATAGAAAGGACAGAGAGGAGAAGGTTTCAGGGAGACAGTGACCCTTTAGCTCCTGCTTTGTCATTCCCACCCGTCTCCCATGCCCCCTTCCCTGCAGGCCCTGGCCTTCCCCCCTGGTGTCTGTGTCCCTATATTCCACGTAGTCATCTGGGGTGAGATGATGTAGGGTGATTGCTGCACCCTTGGCTTGAGGAAGTTTTGAGAATCTGCTCATCTTCAAAGGAAAAACAAAAACTCTACTCTCCAAATTCTGGATGCAGCACACCTCCCTCAGCTTGCAGTCTGCACCAGTGTATGACGCTGCAAGCCAACGTTGCGTCCCTGCCCAAGAGTCACCGGCTTTCCAGCCTGCAGTGATTGTCCTCTCCTTGGTGGAAGCCCTGCCTGCCGCTAACCTCTCTTACAGGGACCAAATTCTGTGTCAGGGACAAATAACAGCACCCACCGTGGCTAGGTTAAGCAGCAAAATAATTAAGCAAAAATACTAACGCTCGTGGTATCTTGGGGAAAACAAGGAGAGTAGGAACCAAGCTTTGGGTCACCCCTGAAACGTAGCCAGGGAACTGACCCCATGGGAGAAACGTGTCACCAGCCAGCACTGGCATCATGTCTGCTTCGGAATTCAACCTGGCCACCAGGAAACCACTGGCACTGCCACCGCCACCACCAAAGTTAGTCGCTGGCCACTACCTCAGTATGGAAAGATGGACGTTCCAAGCACCTCCGGTGTGCGCTCCCCACTTCCAAGTATCTGAAGGAAGAAGCTGAGGTCAGAGACCAGGGTCCCAGCTGCAAAGGGAGTCGGGAAATTGCGTCCTGACGTCTAGTCTAAGAAGAATTAAAAAAAAAAAAAAAAAAAAAAAAGAGATTTCCACAAACATTAAAAAGGACTTTCCAAGGATCATGGTAAACTGCGTCTATGACAGATACCTGCTACAAGCACCAAGATATTCTGAAGTGAAAAAAGTGAATGCAGAATAATATATTTGGGCTCCCATTACCTGTTTAGGAAGCAGAACTCTACAGGCAGGCATTAGCCATCGCTGGGAGGTCCCAGAGAAACAGACAACTATTATCTCCAGGGAAAGAAGCTTTATAATCAAGGGTGCGAGGAGGACTTCATTATCACCGTGTCCTGCTTTGCATCTTCTGATTAAGAGAGACTAAGAAGGAGAGGGAGAAGTAGGAGAAGAGAGCCGCGGTCCTCCTTTCTCTCCCTCTCGGGTCTCTCACTCTCTACCCAGCGCGCCCCCACGGCAGGCTTTTTTCCTCTTTGTTTCTCCTCGCCGCCAGCCGGCCGCAGACACATCGAGACTCGCCCTTTCCGCCCAGGGAAGGAGAGCGCTTTAGAACTTGCCCGGGCGGGCGCAGCCGGCACGGTTAGCCTCCAGCTGGAAAGGAGATTGTGTCTATAATCAGCACACACCGGTTCTTCGCGGGGAGCCAAACCCATCCAAAGCAGCTCCCACTTGGCGCGTCCCGGGGACTCGGTGCAAATCAGGCCTCTTTGCGGGCGTCTGTTGCCCTTTTTGCTGAGCTGCCAGGCCTGAAGCAGCTAGTGAGCTGTGGCCCACGGGGAGGCTTAGGTGGGTCACATCCTGCTCGCTTTCTCAGCACAGCCATCGACTGGAAAGAAGCTACACTCCTCTTCTCCTTGAAGGAGAACTTTCACTGTAGCTCAGTTTTAGGGTGGATATTTAGAATCTTCTGAATGCCAAAGGCTCATCTAGGGAATTGGGGCGGTGCTAGAAGAGGAGAGCGGCTGTGCACCGTGAGCAAACTGTAGCTGCAAATTTATTTTTATGTTTGCTTCCCCTTCCCATCTCCTCCTTCCTGCCTTCCCTCATTCTTTCTCTCTTATTTTCTTTTTTAGATTTTTTTTTCTTTTTTATTTTTTTTGGTGGTACCAGGGATTGAATTCAGGACTATCCCCTTGCCTGGCAAGCTATGATTCTACTGAGCTATTTCCCCGGACCTAGTGGTTTTTTTTTTGTTTGTTTGTTTGTTTGTTTGGTTTTTTAATTCTGAGTCTCTTCACATAAGAGAAACCGTGAGATATTTAAGCTATGTCTTTTTTTTTTTTTTTACGGAACCAGAGATTGAACGCAAGCCCTTGTGCTTGCCAGGCAAGCACTTATTCTACAAAGCCATCTCCCCAACCCCTGAAATTTACTTATTTAATACAGAGTCTCACTACAAGGTCAGACTCTTAGTGACCTCCTGTTTTCTGCCTCCCCAGCTCTGAAATTTACAGGTATGCGCCACTATGCGCCACCATGCCATTTCAGTGGTCCGCATGGCTTGCCAGGGTTCCAGGGTAGGCACAGCATGTGAGACCAGCGATTGAACCTGGGTCCTTGCGCTTGCCAGGAAGGTGCTTAGACCACTAAGCTATTTCCCTGCTTGTGCCTGATATATTTCAATTAGCATTATGGGCTCAAGGTGTATCCATTGTCCTACAAATAACTCAAATGTATCCTTCTTTATGGCTGAATAATACTCTATTATATATTTATACATATAAGACATTTTCTTTATTCTTCTGTTGATGGGCACATCGGCTGTGCTATACTTTAGCTATTCCAAATAGAGCTGCTTTGAACATGAGTCTGTATGTGTCACTGCAGTATGATGTCAGTGGTCCTCTGTTTGCCTTTTGTCCTCAGTGACTATACAGCATGACAGTGTTTCTCATCCAGTTTGGATTATTCATGTCCTACATGGTGAGACAGGCACAATTTCCTTTTTTGAAGCTATCAATGTATGGGTAACTGGTAACAGATATTTCAATATTTGTCCCCTAAGCATCTACGATTTGGTGGTTGGAGACATAGCTCCTCTTTACACTCACCCTAGCCGATCTTCTCCATCTCTCCATACCTCACAACTGACAGATAAACTCTGTGCCTAATATATGTGTCGTGTGTGGATGTGACAGGGTTTCACTATGCATTTCAGGCTAGGCCACTTGACTCTGTGGCCCAAGCTGGCCTCAAACTGGTAGTGATCTTCCTGCCTCAGCCTCTTGAGTGCTGGGACTATCGGCATGTGCCAACACAACCAGCTGTCCCAGGCTCCTCCCCTATATATTTTTATCAAATATGATGTCTAGTTCAGGGCCAGGGAAATGGCTCAGTAGAATAAGCGCTTGCCTGGCAAGCGCAAGGGCCTGAGTTCAATCCCTGGTTCCACCAAAAAAAAAATGTCTACTTCAGAGCCTGGCTAATAAAGTTGCTGAATGAAAAAATAAGCTAAGTTTGCTAAATTAAATTACAGATTCAGAGTGGTGATTCTGATACTTCATAAAAGAAAGTTATTTCTACCCATGTTACAGATGAGAAAACAATCATTTCCATTTTCTGACTGTCTCCAGGGAGTCAGGTCCCAGGGCTGTGCTGAACTGACCCCTCACTCGGGTCCTCAGTTCTTTGGCCTTTGATGAAAGACTTCACTCAAGATGCAAAGGTGGCTGTGCAGAAGTACAGGTGGAGTGCACTGTAAGCAAATACACAGAACATTACACCCTCAAGCAAGAAGGCAAGCAGACCACAGCGATGCCTGTGTGAAGTTTAGCTCTTTCTGCATACTGGAGAGCTACTCCTGAGAAACCCTACTGATTAGCACTGTTTTATTTACCTGATTATTAACGTTTTCCTCCAGAGTACTTTGGAATGTCAGTATCTCAAAAATGTCTGTTCTTTTCACGTGGTCTGTGTTCCCTGAGGGGCCTTAATCTAGAAATTTTGGAGGGAAATCGCGAAAGAAAATTTCTGGGGCCGGGGAGATGGCTCAGTACAATAAGCGCTTAAGCGCAAGGGCCTGAGTTCAGTCCCCGGTTCCACAAAAAAAGAAAAAGAAAAAGTTCTCATCTGAATCAGGTCTTTGAACGAGGAAGGAGAGTCTTTAAAGAATGTCGCCTGTGGCTAGATGTGGTGGTGCAGGCCTGCAATCCCAGCCCTACGGAGGGAGGGAGACCGGGCCGAGGCAGGAGGATCACCTTGAATTGGAAGCCAGCCTGAACTACAAAGCGAGATCCTGTCTCAAAAAACAAGAAATAAGTTGCCCTTTCTGATGCCACTAGGCGCAGGCCATGGCACCCGAGGATGCCTTAAGCCTTGTTCTGGAAATAAACAGGCGGGCGCCCTGGTATGTATGCTGCGTGTAACCTTAGCACATCCTTTGTGCTGTGCAGGCTTGCTTTGGGCCTGAGACCCAACAAATGACCCGAAAGGCATCACACTGAGGTCTCTTCATTTAGCTAGGCTAGCTAAAGTGACTGCCAGTTGCGTTTAGCTGCGCCTGGTGGAGCGCACTACTCCCCCCACCCCCTTGCTCGTTAATGTTTACCTGCCCAACACAGCCTGGAGCCAGCTCCACCCCCACACGCAGCAAACAGTCCTCAGCTCTCCCCCGAGGAAGGAAGGAGCTCGTGCACGTCGCTCGAGGTCGCCCGCCCTTCCTGGGTGGCCCTCTCTGTGGAAACAGATCCAATAAGGAGGTGACCCGCAGACCGGGCGGGAACCCGGAGGTGAGCCAAGGCGGACGCGGCCCAGCCTGGCGTCCCGGGGTCTTCCGTCCTCGCGCCTCGCCCTGCTGGGGATTCACATCCCGCTCTGACTCAGCGGTGAGTCGCCGAGGTCTCTCCGGGCCGGCTGCTCGCAGGTGCTCGGGGCTCTTCCCGAAGCTGGGAAGCAGCCTCAGCCTGCTGCCCTGGGGTTAGAGCGAAGACTGCGCCCGAGGCTAGGGGGAGTGGCGGGGCCTTAGTCACCTGGACTCCACCCGGGCTCGCCTGGGGACCCCCTGCCAGGTCGCCAGGGTGGGGGTCCGGGGCGCTCCTGGCTCTCCCGACTCACAGCTGCGTCCGGCCACCTCTGGCCTTAAAAACTGCAGGCTGCGCCTCCTCCTCTCCCCCACGGAGCAAGCTCGGGCAGGCCGGGCTGGGCGTGCCCTCACCTGCGCCGCCCCGGCCTCTCAGAGTCGCTTGGGCGCAGACTGCGCGCCCGCGTCCCTCGTAGCCGTCGGCTCCGCCTGGGTGGCCCCTGCCGGGTCTCTGGCCCCAGTGAGCACGTGCGCGGCCGGGACTGGATGTTGCCGCAGACCAGGCCAGCAGGTGGGTGCTCGCGGCTGGGGTCGGGAGCCCGGGAGAGGCGCTGTCGAGACCTGAGACCCATGTCCCCTTCCTTGCTGCAGCCCTCTAGAGCTCCAGGTGGTTGCTCTAGAAATGTTTTCCTGGTTCTGCGCAGCGCCGCGCGGGACACACTTGTAATGAAGCCCCAGGCGCTGTCTGGCCTGGAAGAGGGACAGGTTTGTGTCCACCCAGCACTGCAGCACGGTGGGCAGACAGACCGAGTCTGGCAGAAGACAGCCGGTGGGCCTCGGCCACCGAGCACCTCTGGCCCGCAGGGCGAGGCGGCCGGGCTTCTTCCCCCCACACCTTGGGTTGTCTCCCCGGCGTTCTCTCCGCGCTGCTCGCTTTGGTCTCCCCGACGGAGCTGGCTGTACCCTGCAAGTCACAGCTTGCTGCCTGCCCGAAATGAGTTCGGAAAGCGAGCGAGGTGCAGAACGACAGGCAGGGGATGTGAACCTGAGCTCCCAATTTGGGGCGGGGGGAATGGGGGCTCCAAGCAAGGGATTCCTCGCCTCTGGCCTGTGGGACCAGTGTTTGCCCTCCCAGGTTAGCAGATCTCGTGTCTGGTCGCCTGGGGAACAGTCGTCTTAAAGCAAGGTCATCTTTTTTCTAGTCAAAACATTTTTATAAACGAAAGCTGCTACTCTATCATTTTAGAAATTGTAAGGCTCTGAGCAAACGGCTGGGTGCAGAGTTCCGAGCTGGATTATCAAGGGTATCTTTACTATGCCCGCACTGGGAAAGGTGGTTGTGGATTGAGGCGCCCAGTAAGGGCCTCGGGGAGTTTAGCTCAGGAGGATTTAAATTCTTTTCTTTTAATTACCGCAGACCTGGCCCAGCAAGGTGAATGAGGCTTTGGGTTGAGAAAGCCTGGGGTTCCTGTCTGTGTTCCTGGTCCAACTTCAGGACTTCAGAACTGGATTCTTCACTCTGAAGAGGGATTCCTGAGGGGAGTAGGGAGCCCGCAGAAAGACCACAGCTAGTGCAGAGCCAGTCAGTCCTAATGCTGCCCAGTACCGCAGGCTGTGATGACTGAGGCCCAGGCAAACCCTGAAATCACTCCTGCCCTCACCCAGCGGGCAGTGAGAGGCCACGGGGTGCAGGCTTGGGATCCTCCTGGTTATAAAACACTAGTTACTTCCAAACTCCTGAATTTGCTTCAAAACATATTAAATCTGCCCTAAACCAGCTAAGATTTGCAGTGGTCAGTTAGTTTATGGATTCGCAATGTTCAGCTTATCTGTTTAGTGTTTTCTGAGATTCCCTTAGTGCTTATGAAAGTGCATTTTCAGGTGAACCCATCCCAGGTGCTTAGTTGTTGTTGGTAAAAATAACGTTCCTCAGATGCGGTCGTTGGTCTGCAAAGTTGAAGGGAGAAGTGGAGTCCTGGAGTTCATGTTTCACTGGGTGGTTGTGACTCAAGGTGTGAGCCTGGGGTAGCACTGGCCCCCCACCCACAGGCTGCTGAGGAACCCACCTGGCGTGAGCCCCTCAGCTGGAGGGACCTTAACTACCTCCCATGTGGGCGGCTGCTTTGCTTCTCAGTGCTGGCCTCAAGAAATGGGATTTCTCCTCTTTGTTTGTTTGTTTTAAGTCTTTTTGAGACAAGATCTCCCTCCGCAGTTCAGGCTGGCCTTGAGCTCCCTGTGTATGTAATCCAGGCTGGTTGAACTCCCAAAGATCCTCCTGCCTCAGCCTCCCTAATGCTGGGAGTGCTGGATGTGTGCTATCTCACCAGACATGTTTTTGAGCTATGAGCTACTGTTACAGAATGAAGTGGGGGAAATGATGATTTAGTTATTTGCATAACACTCGTTTTACATCTCTTAAACAGCCCTCATTGGTAGCATCATTGTTTGTTTCAAAGAGAAGGCTGACAATCTCAAATTTTGTTTTGAATTCTGCCAGTTTTAGATTCCGATGTTCCTACTGAAACACTTCAGTTTTGATTTCAGTAGTTTCTTTCCCCCTGGCACCCCCAAAAGAGAACCGGGCAGGTGTGAAGTTCCCATCACCTCTGCACTTTAAAGCACTCTTTTTACATCTATGATCCCTGTTTTAAATCTTTTGCCAAAGGTATAACCAAAAACTTCATTCATTTACAGATCTTTTTAATTTTATTTTCAGCAGTGGGGATTGAACCTGGGGCCTTCACTCTGAGCTACACCCCAGCCCTTTTGCACCTTTTATTTGAAGGCAGGGTCTCACTAATTCACCAAGTTTCCTGGGCTGGACTCGAACCTGTGATCCTCCAGCCTCCCGAGTGCTGGGTTGACAGATGTGCACCACCACACTTGGCTCAGATCAATTTTTATATGGCATAAAACAGTAACCTAAGTAAATCAGATACCTGACAATAATTATTGATGGTGTCTATATTCATTTAAAGTAAAATTGGTAGGTTTTTTGGAGGTACAGTAAAGAGATGGGAAAGATAAAAGAAGCCTTTATTAACTCCAAAGGCACGGAGAGGATAGAGGGCAAATGGGTCAGCTAGATCCTCCCCACCTGAGACAAAGGAAGCTGGGGCTCTTATGGACTTCTGTTAGGGGTGGAGCTTGAGGGGGATGTCTAGAAATATCAGAGTTGATTGGGGTCTTCCCTGAGGTGGCAGGAAAGGTGAAAAGAAATTGTACCTTGGGCTGGGTTGGAGAAGAAGCGGGGAGGTGGTCTCTGGGAAGATAAGCTGTTGTTTTAAGGGCTTCAGCCATATTAAATGATCACATAGTAATTCAGCAATTCACACTAGGGCCAGAACTATCGAAAATAATGAATGAAGCTCAAGATTATTTTGCTACACTTTTTTTAAAATTTTATTTATTTGTGTGTGTGTGTGTGTGTGTGTGTGTGTGTGTGGCCAGCTCAGCCCACCAGGGGGCCGGGCTGGCTGGCATGTGGTACTGAGGGATTGAACCATGGTCCCTGTGCTTTGCTAAGCTTGTTCTAAGTAGGTGCTTTAGACCACTGAGCCATATCACCAGCCCCTGCTACATTTTTTTGAGCTTGCGTACCAGGTGTCAGTATCCACTGGAGGGGTGTAAGACAGTAAATCCTGATTTACAAATATTTCGGCTATCCAAGGATCACACACAAAGATCACTCACATCTGTGGTCACAGGCAAATCACGGAAGAGTGGTGCCCACTAGGCTGGATGAGAACTGAATCAAATCGTAACAGATCTGCCAAATATAGTCACAGTTGTGCTGCCGTGCATACAGTGTATTAGTACAGTGCGTACAGTACGGTACAGTCAGGGGCTTAGTGTATTTTTGTGTGTGTTTGGGGTTTTTTTTTATGCTTCACACCATGTATTTGTGTCAACAGTGTATAAAACTCATTTTGTTGGACTTATGAATAAATTCAACTTAAGAATAGCCTCCCAGGGGCTGGTGAGATGGCTCAGTGGTCTAAAGCACCTACTTAGAACAAGCTTAGCAAAGCAGAGGGACCACGGTTCAATCCCCCAGCACCACATGCCAGCCAGCCTGCCCTCTGGTGGGCTGAGCTGGCCACACACACACACACACACACACACACACACGTACACATAAATAAAAAAAAAATAAAAAGAATAGCCTCCCAGAACAGAATTCATTCATGAGTCAGGGACTTGCTCTAATAAACATTATTAGTAATATTAGAGATGAAGAAAGTTTTAAGGCATTCTTGTTTAATATCAACTTTTTTTTTTTTTTTTCTTGCAGTACTGGGGATTGAACTCAGGACCTTGCACTTGCCAGGCAAGCACTTATTCTACTGAGCTATCTCCCCAGCAATATCAACTTTTTTTTTTTTTTGCTCCGAAGGCCCTCAGGGGTGGTTTGGCTGGCTGAAGTGTTGTGGGGATCGGACTACAGCAACCTGAGGCTGACAGCTATGTGGAAGCAGCCACTTAAACAACTGAGCTAAGGCCAGGGCCCCAATATCAACTTTTTTGAGAAATAATTTTCATACAGCAAAATGCAGTGAATGAGTATAGATGAAAATCTGTGCATTCAATTGTATATAAATTATACTTAAGTGAATGCTTTTTGTTTTTTTTTTTTTAATCTGGAAGATGGTCATAGTTTACTGCCTTTATAAGACATTGTGTCTTTACAGTTAAGATGGTGAATTTCATGTCTGGACCCCAGAAGCCCTGCAGAGTGTTTGAAGAAGAGACTGTAAGGAAAAGCAAAACCGAAACATGTCCTGCTCTGCAGGGTCTGCTCACATGTCCTCCTCCTGCTTCCATCTGACCTGGGGCTGCCTCTTCTCCCTGCAGACTCTGCTGGTGCCACAATGCTCCCTGGGGACCTCACAGCAGCTTCCTGGGAACTTGTGGTCCGAGTTGACCACCCTACAGCAGAGGAGCAGAGGGATGTCACATTGAGGGTGTCCGGGGACCTGCACGTGGGCGGCGTGATGCTCAAGCTGGTGGAAAAGATCAGTGAGTCATCTTTTCCCGGCAGTGCCTCTTTCTTGCATCCCCACTTCCCGGCTAACCCAGCCACCCTGATCACAGGTTTCTTTGGCCATCCACCTCCCGCAGCCCAGAAAGCAGGCACCTCCCTGTTAGCACCCATCTCTCCCAGGAGGAGGAAGAGAAAGAGCAGCCTGAAGCTTCAGCCCCAACCACCTCTGTGCAGCTGAGTCTGTGGGGCCTTGGAAGCTCCCTGGGCATCAGCTGGACAGCCCATTCCACTGGTGACATCTAAGGTACCCTTAGGCGATGGCATTAGGGTGCCGATTCTCTGCCTTCACCTGGTTAGTGATAAGTCAGCTTGGCACTAAGGTGTTGATTCATGCTTACCCACCTGGCTGCTGTACCTGTTACACAAGAGGAGCAGACCTCACCTGAGACCAAGAATGACTTTCCATTTTCATTGTGCTTATTATGTTCTCTTTTCAGGCCTTTCACGCTGGCTTTTCATGTATACTAGTGAGCTAGTCTCTGCTAGGTAAATCTTAGCTGAAATACAAAATACTTAGCTAAAGGGCCTTTCTAAGGGCATATGTAACTGATCTTCAGACATGTAACCCCAATGAGGAGATAGACTATCACCTGTTCCCTAACCCAAGCTATGTACTAGACCTCTCCCTGTCACTGCTGCACAGGGTGACCCCTATTCCTCACTGCTAACACCAGGAATCATTTGGCTTGCTTTTTTTTTTTTTTTTTTTTCTTTTTTTTGGCACAATCAGGGATTAAACTCAGGCCCTTACGCTTGCCAGACAAGCACTTATTCTACTGAGCTAGCTCCCCGACCCTTGGCTTGCATTTGAGTTGCCCATAAAATGAATTAGATGGCATATGCTCCCACAGATTTTCTGTCACTCAACATTGTGAGGCTGGCTGGATGTGGTGGCACACGTCTGTAATCCCAGCACTTGAGAGGCACAGACAGGAGGATATGAGCTCAAGGACAGCTTGGGCTGCACAGTGAGAACCTATCTCAGAAAAGACAAAAGAAGAAAATTGTGTCTTAGAGACTCACCCATATTGTTAATTAATATAGTATTAATAATGTCATTGTTGTATAATATTCCATTGTGTGCACCCACAGTTTCCTCATTTACACTGTTTTTGTTGGTTTTTTTTTTTATTTTTATTTATTTATGTGCGTGTGTGCGCTGCCAGCTCAGCCCACCAGGGGGTGGGGCTGGCTGGCATGTGGTGCTGGGGGATTGAACCGCGGTCCCTGTGCTTTGCTAAGCTTGTTCTTTTTTTTAAATTTTTTTTATTTATCTATTTATTGTGTGTGTGTGTGTGTGTGTGTGTGTGTGTGTGTGTGTATGACCTGCTCAGCCCACCAGGGGGGCGGGGCTGGCTGGCATGTGGTGCTGGGGGATCGAACTGCAGTCCCTGTGCTTTGCCAAGCTTGTTCCAAGTAGGTGCCTTAGACCACTGAGCCATCTCGCCAGCCCTAAGCTTGTTCTAAGTAGGTGCTTTAGACCACTGAGCCATCTCACCAGCCCCCTGTTTTGTTGAGTCAGGGTCTTCCTATTTAGTTCATGCTGGCCTTGAATTCAGTATGTAACACAGGCTGGCCTTCAGTTCATAGTAATCCTCCTGCCTCAGCTTCCTGAGTGCAGGGTTACAAGTATGCACCACTATACCTGTGTCTTAGTTACTTTTCTCATTGGTTGAACAAAATATCTGACACTTAAAGCTAAAAGAGGAAAAGTTTACTTCAGCTCACAGTTCGTAGAAGTTTCAGTCCACAGCTGACTGTCTCCAAGGTAGAGGGGCATCAGAGAGGAGGAGCTCATGGCAGAGCAGGCAGGAGACAGGGAGGCAGCAAGCAGCAACCGCCAACCTGCCTTTCCCATTTGTCCCATCCAGACTACCTACCACCCAGAATCGTGCTAAGTCCAATCAGCTGGCTAACCTAGCACCACATCCTTCACCCAGTGTCACACACAGGTGACCCTGCCAGCAAGGAAAAGCTCCACCTATGAGCCTGTGAGCCTTTGAGGACATCTGGTCACAAGCTGTAGCAACCCCTTCAGTTTCTGTGCTTCAGAACCTGGCGATGTGGTGATGCTGCTAGAAGAAAGGGGTGGCTGTGAAGTGAAATACCACCTCCCTGAGCGTGTGCCCATCCCAGGGCTGAGCATGTGCCTGTCCCAGGGCTGCGCGCTCGCCCTAGCAAGCCAGTGGTGAAAGAGTGCATTTCTATAAGAGGGTTAAGACTGAAACTCCTGCGACACAGTGGCTTTGGGACCAAGAGCTTCAGCATTTATGCTGAGCGGCAAACTCAGGCTTCTGCCTTCCATGGTATTTAAATGGAAATGGAGTGCCGAGGTCTTCTCCCTACCCCATCTGGGAGACTCTGGAGAGAAGTCAAGGACTGCTCTGCCCCATGAAGTGCTGTGGGGCTAAAACTCAGGTGCTGGTTTCCGACTGTGGCACCCAGACGCACTGCTCACTGGGCTCGTTTCATTCAGCTATGTTTCCAATATTGGCAGATGTGTCCCAGGACTGGTCTGACTTTGCCCTGTGGTGGGAGCAGAAGCGATGCTGGCTCCTGAAAACCCACTGGACCCTGGACAAGTGCGGGGTGCAAGCTGACGCCAAGCTCCTCTTCACGCCGCAACACAAGATGCTGCGCCTGCGCCTGCCCAACCTGAAGACCGTGCGGCTGCGCGTCAGCTTCTCGGCCATGGTGTTCCGAGCTGTGGGTGACATCTGCAGAGTCCTGAGTGAGTACCGCTGGCAGGGTTCCTTCACAGAACCAGACAAGGAGGAGGATGCTCTCTTGCGCCCATTGCCCAGGACCTGCAAGCCAGACTGGGCCCTGCAGCGCTGCCTGTGATCAAACCATCAACACTATCCAGAGCAGTTTCAAAACTCATTTGTATTTATTTTTCAATAAAAGTAAATAAATAATAATAATAAAAGTCATTTGTAAACAGCAGGGCGAGCCATTAAGGTTGCCCCAAAATTCATGTCCCCAAGCTATATGCAAAACATTGCTGTGTTTAAGATGAGGGGTGCTCTATTAAATCCTTCATCCTGTGAATGGAAGCAGAATTTTTTATGGATGGGTGTCCCACAGTAGAACAGAGAGACAACCCTGAGGCTTTCTTTCTGATATTCCATAAAGGGAGGGAACCTGGTGCCATGAAGGTCTTGATGTTTTATTTCATTCTGTAGTACTGGAGCTGAAACCAAGGTGTGCTGGTTTCAGTGCTATACCCACTGCCTTTTTAAATTTTTATTTTGAGACAAGGTTTTGCTAACTTTCCCAGTCTAGTCTCAAGCTTGAGATCCTCCTGGCTCAGCCTTCCAAGTAGCTGGTATTGTAAGTGTATGCCACTATGCTGGACAGAAAGTTAAGGTTTTATATTTTCTGGAACAATGTAGATGTCTTCTTTGGTACTAAGGTCAAAAGTAAGCATTTGAACACAGACTAAATACAGTATCAGTGAGCAATCTCATCTCTTCTGTTAAGCTATAAACCACTTCATTCACTCACAAATACTTATTGAGTCACAGGTAGTGTGGCAAGCCCTGGGGGACATTTGTGATGACGGTCACATCCCGCCCCTGGAATTTACATTCTAACAGGCACTTCCGGTCCACTATCTGGTGAGGAAAGCACCATTTTATGTAATCATTTACTTTGTTTTCAAATTCTCTGTAGATTGTAACTGATAACCAAGCATGACTGTGTGTGGCCCCAGCTGGTACACCAGGGCCCAGAGGACAGGATGCTCTGGAATGCAGGGGGGAGGTCTGTTCAGTAGCCATCAGGCAGCCCATGTGTGCCAGGCACTGTGCTAGGACAGAAGGACACAGCCCTCCTGGATATGCTTTCTGCCCCAGCCTTATTTCTACTTTTCCTGAGACAGGATCTCACCTTTATCATTCAGCCTCACCTTGAACTCACTGTGTACCCCAGACTGGCCTCAGACTCGTGGTGATTCTCTTGCCTTGGCCTCCCAAATTCTGGGTTTACATGTGTGCCACCACACCTGGCTCCACTTGGGATTTGGCATCTTTACTGCTGAGAGCATGCTCGTTTTCCCTTCCCTGATCTGTGGTCTGCTGCAAGCCCTCAGGCAGAGAGACAGGTCCTGGAAGCTATTGGAAGTTGGTCGGGGAGATGGGGAGGGCCATGGAGCGCAGGCTGGAGGCTTTCACTCCAAAGGGAGCAGGGATAAGGTGTGAAGGAACAGCTTTAGTCCTGCATCCCTAGGAAGAGGAAGGTGACCAAGGGTGCTGGTTTTAAGAAAGGGAGAAAGAGGCAGAAAGGAAGTGAGGGAGCTAGACATTTGCTAGATTGAATGTACCTCCACTTCTATCCTCTGCCCCCTTCTGTTTCTTCAAAAAGGACGCAGTTTAGTTCTGTTTACCTCCCCAGAATTTCCCCACACTTCTCATCAAAGCACAAAATGCCTCCAAAGGAATTTTCATTCTACTTAGTTTTCTTTCTTTCTTTTTCTTTCTTTCTTTCTTTCTTTCTTTTTTCTTCTTAGTTTTCTTTTCTTCTATTTGTTGGTTTTTGTGTTTGTTTGTTTGTCTCAGTACTGGGAAGAAACTTGGGACCTTGCGCTTGCCAGGCAGGCACTTATGCCACTGAGATACATCCCTGGCCCTGGTGTTTTTAGATATTAGAAGATCAGAAGAACTTTCTTTGTTAAAGCCCTTTGGTGACTATTTTAAGAAAAAAAAGAAGAAAGAGAAAAACAATAAGGAGCCTGTTATTGAAGATATCCTGAACCTAGAGAGTTCGCCAACAAGTTCAGGTTCCCCAGGTAAGAGCGGTTCTTTTGATTTGTAAGCGTGGATTAAAATCTAGGGGGGAAACCTCTCTCTCTCTCTCTCTCTCTCTCTCTCTCTCTCTCTCTCTCCAAATGAGGAATAAAATTGCAGAATTGATGAGATGTCCACGAAAAATTTATTTCCGCTTTTTCTCAACAGATATACCTAATTTAAACTCATTATTGTAATTGCCTATCTTAGGTTACTGGTGAATGCAGAATCTCAGTGCAGCTGTCCATGGGTTGGGAATAAAGGAATGCTGGGAGAAGAGCTGGATAGCTGGCTTTCTCTCTTCCTGATTTTCTGTCTTTGTGTGCTTCTTTATTGAATTCAATTTATTTGGGTGTGTTAGCGAAGGGCAGTAAGAGCTCTGCAGAGGTGTCATCCCTTTCTTCTTGCTCCACAATAGCCAAGTCTCTGACTTGTGTGCCACCTTGAGGGCTTGCTCCTGTAGGCTATTCCAGTGCAAAGAACAAGCAAGCTACTTGTACTGTGTGCAAGCCTGAGCCAATGGGCAAGTTGCTAGCTTCTTAAAAATGGCAGGTACTGCCACTTCTTTAAGGGACTGCCTGATACACTGAGCAGTGTTGTTCTGTGATGTTTCAGTTTTCTCATGGTGTCAAGACCTGTTAAAATAAGAGAACTTCCAATTATTAGAAAAGAAGCCATGTTCAACATCTGTTTTGATTTTTGGAAGCCTTTACACCTTTGAGCTTCTAGAAACTGAATATGCAGAGCTTTCTCTGTATTTAACTAACTCCCCTACCCTCATGACTGCTATGATTACTCAGTGACAAGTGGCGCCGACACATAGGTACTTTTCACTTGGGTGTGTGGAGCTCCTTTCTGAGTCTCATGGCAGAGCACCTCTTCCCTTGTTGTCTCACAGGAAGTGCTGGCTTGTACAGTAAGACCATGACTCCCACCTATGACCCCATCACCGGAACACCAGTGTCCTCCACCGTGACATGGTTCAGTGACAGTCCCTTGACGGAACAAAGCTGCAGTGTCCTCGCCTTCAGCCAGCCCCCGCAGTCCCCAGAAGCACTGGCGGATATGTTCCAGCCCCGGTCCTTGTTGGATAAAACCAAGCTCAATGCAGGGTAAGCATGGGGCTCCATGGGACTCCATGGGGTTTCTCTATACTGATGTTGAATTAGCAAGAGAGAGGTCACAGAGAAGAGGGGGAGTGTTTTGGTTATTTTAAGTTGAGAGGCCTGGGGACAGGGCTTCATTAACAAAAGCCAGTGTTAACTTTAGGCAGCCAGAAGGGTCATTTCAGTCCCTTTCCCTTTAGAGGTGTGACGATGTGTGAGCTGGGGGAACTCAGTGGCCTACCATGGGTGAATGTAACTCTGGGGCCACAAGCTTGGGAAGTGTATTTTGTGGGGCACAACGCAGCTTGTCAGAGGCCAGAGGCAGGTCCCTGTGAGCCCTTCCCATCACCCCAAGTGGTCCAGCCAGCTGCGCTGTCTTGCAGCAACCTGCTCCTCGCCACAAAGGAGCAAGCTCTGGGCCTCACTGGCAATGACCTCAGAGAGTCACTCGGCCTACTTCTCAAGCCTTGTGCTCCACCAAAGCCCACCTTGTCAGCAGCAGTCAGCTGTGTAGCAGAGGTATCTGTCCCCGCTGTGTCCCAGGGCTCCCTCCCTCTCCTGTTGCTGCCCAGCTTCCTAAACTTACCCCTTTGCCATTTCCACTGCTCATTCTCTCCTTGTCCCCAAAGGCCCAGACATACGCCTTTCTCCCATCTCAAGTGTCACCAAAGCTATTGCTTCCCAGCAGTTCTGGGCTTGCCCGTGGCTCATCGCAGGTCACCAAGCCACTCTGTCATGAGGCTGAGCTCCCCCAGGGCCTGCCAGCTCCTAGGACATCCCTGCTCAAGGCCTAAGAGAATGAACCGCCAGGTCTCACCCCTAACCTCCACTCTTCACCATGACCTCCCTGCTGGTTGCCAGCTCTAAAACTCACTGCCCCAGCTGCCTGGGACTACCTACATTTAAACTTGCTTAGACTTAATTGAAATTAAAATGTGGCATTAACCACATTTAAATATCTGATGACTATGAGTGGCTAAAGGCCCAGACTTTAGGCAGCACAGTCTGAAGGCTTGTCTCATAGCAGACATGTTCTGTGGGCTGAGCCGCCTGCTACAGAGGAGAGGCTGTGCAGGAAGTGAGGATGTGGTTGGAGCATCTCAGCCCCAGAACCTTCTAGAAAACGGAGACAATAAGAACTGCCCTGGCTCCTTGAGCGCCTCACTTCAAAGTGTTAATAGTTTACATCCATGGTGTAAATGGTGCCTTGCTTCACTAACTTAATTCTTTCCATGACTCTGGTCACAAGCTGAATGGCATGAGAACCAAATCGAACTTCCCGTAAGGTCAGAATCTAAGGTACTCACCGAGTTAAGTTCATGAACAGAGACACCAGCGTCTGTGTAATTTATAAATATGTGTAGAAGTGTATGTGTGTGAAAATGTGTGACATACAGAAAATGAAACGTTAAAACTGGTTTAATAGGCAAATTAAGCTGTTATGTGCGTGCTGCTGGGGGAGGGATAGCGCACATTCTGCCTTTGCTCAAGGAGACCCTGTAATCTACTTATAAACAATATGAATATAAATATTGAACTGTGTGCCTGACTGACTCTGTGCCCACCGCTGTTTTCTAGGTGGCTGGACTCCTCCCGCTCCCTCATGGAGCAAGGCATCCAAGAGGATGAGCAGCTGCTGCTACGGTTTAAATACTACACTTTCTTTGATTTGAATCCTAAAGTAAGCTGTTTCCCTTTTCTTCCCCCCATCCCCTTTCTTTGTGTGAAGTACAAAATTGAGTCACTGTGCTATCCAGTTAGGATCCGCCATCTGGCGGGGTCTCTGCAGGGTGAGCCGATGCACCCAGGGCACAATCTCTGAGCTGGCAGGAAGCTCCGGGGCCCTCTGTCCCATGCAGGCTGTGCTGCTGCCTGCATTCACAGGAGGGACGGGCTGAGCGGCTTCCCCCACCCTTTTCGGTGCACACCACCCAGCTGAAGTTTATTAGGGCGATAAGTGAGGGTGGGCAACTGCCATGAGCTTCAGCCCTTTCCCTGTAGCTGTTCTGCGCAGCTGCAGGTCCACAGCAACGTGGCCAGGGGCAAACAACATAAACTGAGTGGCAGCCCTTGGGGTACCCGGGATGACTGGGTGGCATTTTTATTTTTTGGCTGTTATGAATAACACTGCTATAAACATTCCTGTACAGTTTGTTTTTTAAAATTTTTATCGTACTAAAAGTATACATGCATCCACCCCTTTGAGATTGTAACTTTTTTTTTTTTTGGTCTGGCTCAGCCCACCCTGAGGGTGGGAATGGCGTGGCATGTGGTGCCTGGGAATCAAACCCCGGTCCCCGGCACCTGCCTAAGCTGCTGTTTTCACCTACCTGAACGCTGGAATTACAGGCCTGCTGGGTCAAACCCCAGTCCCTGTGTCTGCTTAAGCGGGCACTTTAGACCACTGAGCTGTCCTGCAGGCCCCTTATTTATTTATTTATTTATTTATTTATTTATTTATTTATTTATTTTTGTGGTATGAGGATCGAGCTCATGACCTTGTACTTTCCAGGCAGGCACTTATGCCACTGAGCTGTCTCTCTGGCCCTGAAATTGTAACTTTTCAAGGTAGAAATTCAGTGGCATAGAGTACATTTATATTGCTGTACGGCTATTATCACTACCCATTTCCAAAACCTTTTCTTCATCTCCATCAGAAATCATTTGCAAAAAAAAAATTTTTAATTAAAAAAAATAAATCATTTGCTCTTGGGGCCAGGGAAATCTTGGGGCAGCACAAAGGCCTGCATTTAGTCCCCGGTACTGCAAAAAGAAAAAAAGAAATCATTTGCTCATTAAATGATAAATCCTCCTCCTCCCTCCAGCCCTAGGAAACTTTTCTACTTCCTGTTTGTGTGAATTGGCTTATGCTAGGTAGTTCATATAAGTGAAGCCATACAGTATTTGTGCTTTCATGTCTGCTATATTTCACTTAGTAAAAGAGCTTCAAGTTTCCATGTGGTGTCATGTATCAGAATTTTATTCCCAGGGGGCCGGGGAGATGGCTCAGTGGAATAAGCACTTCCCTGGCAAGCGCAAGGGCCTGAGTTCAATCCCCCGTTCTGCCAAAAAAAAAAAAAAAAAATTATTCCCTTTTAAGGCTGAATAACATCCTATCATGTGCACAGATGTATCACCACATCATCTTTCTTTTGTTTCTTGGTTCTTGTTTTATTTGAGACAGGATCTCATTATGTCCTTCAGGCTGGCCTTGAACTCTTGCCTCAGCCTCCTGAGTGCTGGGATAACAGGTGTATGCCGCCACACCCCGCTGCATATCATTTTTGATCTACTCAGCCATTGTTGGACATTGGGGTACTTCCCCCTTTTGGCAAACTTATCTCTCCAGAAGCTACCGATTGCTTTTCTTTGGAAACGCCACCATTTTCCATCCCAAAGTGCTCTTGCTGCCCATTTCCACACCCTTACCCACACTGGCTATTATCTGTGTTTTAGATCAGAGCCAGCACGGGGGTTTGAAGTGGTATCTCACTGGTTACATATGTATTTTTGGATGCTGTGATTTTTGTTTTCTTTTGAATTTTTTATTCCCCAAATAACTAGGCATTTTCAACATTTCATCCAGGGCTGAATTCTGTCCTTATGGATATAAAGTGTTACTTTTAATGTCTATAAGGACTCTTGCTACCTCCAACACTGTTTTCTTTCAAAATTTTCTTGGCAATTTTTAGCACAGTCTCTTCCACAGTTAACTTGAACATGCGCATAAAGTTTTGTTCAGGGGGCCTGCTGGTTAGCTCAGTTGTTTAAGCGCCTGCTTATGCAAATGCAGTCAGGAGTAGGATACCATGGTTCATCCCCAGCTCCACCTGCCTTACCAGAACTGCCCTTAAAGCAGACTGAGCCAGCCCCAAAAAGAAAAACAAAAAACTTTTGCAAGGAGGTACAGGGGCAGGAGTTCAATTCCCAGGCCTGCTGTGGTGACACACACCTGTAATCCCAGCACTTGGAAGGTTGTAAACAGGCGGATCACTACGAGTCCAATCTAGTAGTGAGACCCTGAACACCCTGTAGACCCTTCCCTAAAATACAGGGGAAAATTTTTTTTTGTTTAAAAATCTTTATCAGATTTTGCTTGAGATTAAACTGCCTTCACAGATCAATTTAGGGTCCCTTCTTTTTATGCTACCTATCATTTTTAAAGCATTTTAACTCCCTAGTTTTACTACCAAAGAAATGTGGTAAAGAGAAGGAAAATAATGGAATCAAAAGTGGGTCGGGGGCCTGCCCATTAGAACAGTTGTTTAAGTGACTGCTTAAACAGAGCAGTCAGGCTCAGGTTGCTGTGGTTCCATCCCCAGATCCTCAAGCCATACTAGAAATGCCCTAAAGGCATTCTGAGCCATTAAAAAAAAAAAAAAAAGTGGGTCAGTTCAACCCCTAGAAGAAACTCTGGAAAAACATTCACAAAAGGAAAGATCTGAATTCAGAAATAAAGTAAGCCTGGGAGGTAGACAGAAAAGTGTTGCTTACAGCTTCCTGAATTTAGTGACGACACCCACAGGAAAGGGCCTTTGGAATTCCAGAGGAACGCCTGTGGGATCCAGACATGCCCATATGTGTGCACACATGTGCACATCTGTTGCTTTCTCCAGTATGATGCTGTCAGAATAAACCAGCTGTATGAGCAAGCCAGGTGGGCTGTGCTCTTGGAAGAAATCGACTGCACAGAGGAAGAAATGCTCATCTTTGCAGCTCTCCAGGTATGGGACCTTCCGGGCCTTTTCTCCGCAAGGAGACACCAAATGCATCCTGCTGAAAGTTTCGTGTTCTCTGTGTTTGTGCACGTGTGCATGTATGTTTCCTTTGATAAAATAAGCAAGTAGTGTCGTGCCAGCCTCTCCCCTGGGGCTCGCTGAGACAATAACTGAGTCTGGGCGTGGTGGCATGCACCTGTAATCCCAGTGCTTGGGAGGCTGAAAACGGGAGGACCACTACAGGTCCGATCTGTAGGGAGACCCTGTAAGCCCTGTACTAAATACATTAAGAAAAAAAAGACCAAGTAAATTTAAATCTAAAATACTCACAGTTCATACATGTACACGTGCTACGGGAGGCATTTGTCTTCTAAGTCTGATTTCTTCCCTGCCAAGCCCAATTGCTGATGGGGAAAGACAGTTTGAACCTGACCTTGCTGAGGATGGAGGCCTGGGTCAGATTTAATGCCTCATTCCCTGCGCAGGTGGTAGGTCTCCTTTGAGGGAGTGTCCATTATCCCAGGGGAACTGTCTTCAGTAGGACCTGTAGCCACTGGATCTGCATGTGTTTGTAATTCTTTCTGAAACCCGTGTTTTCACTCAGTATCACATCAGCAAACTGTCACTCTCCACTGAAACTCAGGATTTTACAAATGACTCTGAAGTTGACGAAGTTGAAGCCGCATTGTCTAATTTAGAAGTGACCCTCGAAGGTGGAAAAGCAGACAGCACTTTGGTATGGACTTTTCTGTTAGCTCGGGCTTACGGCTTTGTTCTGACTAATGAACAGGGCAATGTTTTAATAAGAAATAGAATATGACATCTGATTTTGAAAAAAGAAAAAAAAACACATATGCTGTTTATGCGATGAGCCTAAATTTAGCAAGAACTGGCTAGCTGTCCTCAGGTTACCTCTGTAAGGAACACTAAGGTATTTTTTTCAGAATGACTTTATGATTATGTCATATCATTATGACTTAATGATAATGATCTTTGTACTGTATTTCTTGCTGGGAATAAGTTGGTTTGGCATGAGGGAGGACCTGCTGGGGGCTCCACTGCCTAGCATGGGACACAAGAGTGATCTCTGAGGTCTGGAAAGAACCACCCTGCCCATGCAGGGGAAGGTGGTGTTAGGAGAAGCTGCGCTCTGAAGACCCCCATTATAGAGTATTGTCCAACATCCCTAACTGCATTTAATTCCAGGCAATAGGTTTTGAAAACCCTCCAGTCAAACAAAGAGTTGGGTTTTCATCCTTTGTTCCTTCCCATGGAGTAACAGAATACTCTTTGATTCCTTCAGTGGACGCCATCCTTTTGTTTAACTTCATCAATCCTGAGGGTGATTATGGGCTTAGTCATGCTGAGTCCAAAGGGCAGACCCATTGTAACTGGGCCTGAGTAGTAATAATGGCTAGAAATGAGTCGCCATATTCCTAAGCATTTCACTGAGTGATCCCTTATCATTAATTACCCTAAAATAAAGTAGCATCGTGCTTGAGCAAATATTTGGTAAATGCAAAGATACTGCAGAGACACAAGTGCCAGGGAACAAGGTTGGTTTTTGTATTTTTTGGTTGTCTATTTTTTCCACTGAATAAGTAACAGGAAAATGATCCTTCTTAGAATAAGTGAAAAATTTCCTCCTTTCCTCTTATTTTTATGTGGCTTTAAACAAGAGGCTTCTCAGGGTTTTTTTGTTTTGTTTTGTTTTTTTATTTGTGTGTGTGTGTGTGTGTGTGTGTGTGTGTGGCCAGCTCAGCCCACTAGGGGGCGGGGCTGGCTGGCATGTGGTGCTGGGGGATCCAACCGCAGTCCCTGTGCTTTGCTAAGCTTGTTCTAAGTAGGTGCTTTAGACCATGAGCCATCTCACCAGCCCCAGGCTTCTCAGTTTGAAAACAGGCACCAACCTACCCTGCAGAGAAAACTTAGAGCGGGATTCCCCTTCCGAGGTTAGTCAGTGACCTAGATACAGCCAGAGTTGCCTACTTTAATGTGCAGTGTGCAAAAGATTTTGTTTGTATAATAATTATTTCTGGGGAATCGAACCACAGTCCCTGGCCCATGACTGATTCTGCTAAAGAAGGTGCTTTAGACAACTGAGCTAACCCCAAATAATCATCTCTAATTCAGATTTTTACCTGGAATGACAGATACAAGGAAAACTGAGCAATTTTAAAACTTTGGGTTTTTCTTTCTTTTTTTTTTTTTTTTTTTTAATTTTTGCTGTACATGTTGCATACAGAAAAATAAAAGATGTATATACGTATGAAAAAAAGAGTACTAAATTCTCACCCAAGTCTCCACCCAAACCAAGATTTAAGACTTTGCCAGCCATCCCTGTTCCCCATCCTGCTTCCAACCCTCCCTTACCCCAGCCCAGCAATGACTGATTTTTTTTGTTTTTTGTTTTTGGAGGCAGAGTCTTACCATGGAGTTTAGGCTGGCCTTGAATTCACTTTACAGCTTAGGCTGGCCTTGAACTCACAGTGGTTCTCCTACAAAAACCACCAGGGTACAGGGATCACAGGCATGTGCCACCAAACCCAGCACAATGATTCATTTTTCAATTTTATTTCATTGGAATAATTTGGATTTGAGTAACTACTACATATGGCTACCCCAGTGGCAACACCACCTGAGCTTCCTGTTCTGAAGTGTTATGTTTTTTCCTCAGGAGGACATCACTGATATCCCAAAACTTGCAGATTATCTCAAATTATTTAGGTAAGTAACCTTGAAGGTGAAGCAGAGTTCTCATAACAGAGCCTGGCAGGTAGAGTCCAGGAGGGTGAACTGTACATCCTCTGGGCAGATCTGTGGTTCAAGGGTGTAGAGTAAGGGCTTTGGTGTCAGACAGCCGGTTGAATGGTAGCACCAGCACACACACGAGCTGGGCAGCCTTGAGTGGTGTTTTTATGCCCCTGAGCCTCACTTTGCCATCTAATAAAAGGGAACAGACTGCCTCTTAGGTTTACTGGATGAGAAAAGATGATGCTTATGAAGCCCTTAGCATGGCTCCTGGCCCATAGTATGTGCTCATTAATGATGATGCAGTCATACCAGAGTCTACAATAATGAGCATGAGCCAAACTGGAGTTCTCCCTGAAAGGCTCAGATCCCTGACACCATCTGATGGCATTTTGGCCAGGTAAGAATTCGCTTGTCTCTAGAACTTCCAATCCCAGGAGAAAGTAGTCACCTCATTGATCTGCTTTTGCATGTGTACGTGCTGGTTTTGGTTTGGTTTTGTTAGCAAGGAAAGAAGAGACTTTGTGACGTCCCATGCCTGGGTGTGGTGGGATGAAAGAAATAAGGGCCTCTGAAGTCCTGTCAGTTACTTACTTCACTTAACAGTTTGTTGACTTTTCTTAACAAACCACTTCCTGGGGATTGCTTTTGATAGGACAAGACAATGAGTCACATATAAATGGGAAACACAGATCTGGAGGAATAAAATTTGTCCCGATGTTTGTACAGGATTTTTAATGTGATTATAGGGTGGAATCTCACATATACTAATAGGGTCACTAATTGAACTTCTGTGGCATAAACAGTTGTAACTATTATTGGCTCATGTTGTGACAGAGATACTGAAAAGTAGTAACCCCTCGAAGCCACAACTCCACCTTTATAAAATATTCATAATTGTCCCACAAAGAAATCGAGCTGTCAGGTTCTCTGTACTGAGCAAATCCAAATCATGGAAGTGCCCTTCCTGGGGGTGTCTGAGAGGCTCACATGAAGGAGGTGACAGGTGGGCATTGACTCCTGCCTGGCCTTTGGTGTGATTGTTATAAGTTTTTTTGTTGTTGTTTTTGTTTTATGTGTTTAGTGCAGGGTCTCACTACACAGATAAGACTCATACTGATCCTCCTGTTTTCAGCCTCCCAAGCGCTGGGATTACAGGTGCACGCCACCACGCCTAGTCTCAATCGCTGTCTCAGCTCCTGGGTTGAACCCCACTCCCTGCGTCTGCCTAAGCAGTATTGTAAGTCTTAGGGAAGGAAGGAAAGTCAGAAGGGAGGGAAGAAGAAAACAGAATTTTTAGAGTCAAGTTCCCTGGGTTTCCTCAACAGGAGATTTGGACTCATCCTTTGGTTTTTAATTTTTTTTTCTTTTACAGTGAAGTTCTGCATAGATAGGTAGGTAGATAGAGATAGATAGATAGATAGATAGATAGATAGATAGATAGATGTAGATATATATAAATAAACCCTGTTGATTCTACTGTCTAAACTGCACACGTGACATGTCAGCCACACGGGGTGCTTAGGGCATGGATTTGGGTTCTCACGGCTTGGGGTTGGTATTTCAATTTTTTTGCAGGAATAGGAAGTAAAGCAATCTGGCCCTCAAAAAGTGACAAGCCACGTCTGCCTAGAGCTTAGCAGGGAACAAGGAAGCTATTCATCTTCCAGAGGAAGCAGGAAAGGTGTTTACTTTAGAGTTGGCTTCTTGGAAAAATGAAACTCTTTCTTGAGAAATCAGAGCCAAGGCTTAGTCAAGCTCAGATGGAGATATAAATGTCTTATATGACTATAAGGGAATCCTGACAAAGTGAAGTAGATGCTGGTCCAGGCCTGCAAAACTCGTGAAGTCCTAGCACTTGTGCAGAGTTGCAGATATACCCAGAGGGAAATATTCTCCACCAGGCATGCGTGGAGCTTTCTACAGAAAACAGTAAGCCCCTGAAAAATGAGCTTCCAGTAAAAATTACAGTCGTGTGAGTTCACAGATGCCCGAAGGGACACAGGACCAGCAGGGTGAGTAGAGTCAGTAACTACAGGAAATAGAAGAAGCTGAAAAAACCCTAAAGTCAGTATGCTTAGAATCCTTAAGTAAATGTTTATTTTCTTTTGCTTTTCTCTCTCTCTCTTTTTTTTTTTTTAATTTATAGGGAAGGGTCTACAGGGCATTGAGGGTCTCACTGCTAGATCCAACTCATAGTGATCCGCCTGTTTACAGCCTTCCAAGAGCTGGGATTACAGGTGCACACCACCAAGCCCAGTTTCTTTTTTCTTTTTCTTTCTTTTTTTTTTTTTTTTTGCGGAATTGGGGATTGAACTCATGCCCTTGCACTTGCCAGGCAAGCGCTTGTTCTACTGGGCCATCTCCCGAGCCCCCAAGCCCAGTTTCAATTGCCCTCTCAGCACACCCTGGGGGCGGGACTGGTGCGGCACTTAAGTAAATTTTTAAAGTAAGATAAACACAGGCAATACTGAAAAGGATCAAAATCTTTATGTTGTACAATTTGATAGTATGTATAGCAGTGCAGTTTACAGGTGACGATGCTGTACACACTAGGGGCAGATGCTTGCTGTAGCTTAAAGATGGGGCATGCCCGTACATAGCTGGACAAGCTATACCTGCTGAACCCTGCTATCTGAGGCTGGGGATTGTCTCTAACAAGCCCCCTTTCTTGGTTCTGATAAGCAGTAGTCTTCTGAAAAAGTAAGTCCAGCCTGTTAGGGCATTTAGAGTCTCACCCTGGGTGCCTTCCTATCTTCTTGCTATGCTATTTTTTTTCTTCTTGGACAGTCTCAATGTATATGCCAGACTCATGCTGGCTTCGAACTCTAGATCTCCTGTCTCAGCTTCCCATGCACTGAGCTGTAGGCATTTATCTGAGTAATCCACTCTCTTGCTGTGGTAACAACCACTACACAAGTGAGGAAAAGCTACAGTCACAGACACTACCCTCTCCATCCCCTTTCCCTGACTCAACACAGTGCCTAGCCTGTGGCAGATGTTTCAGAACCCTCCGAAGCCCTGTGCCCTGTGCCCTGTGCCCTGTGCAGTGGTGCACACCCATAACCTGCAGCTCCACCCCTTTTGGGAAGCTGAAGCAGGAGGATCAGGAGCACAGTCTGGGCAATGTAGCCACTTAGAAAGACCTTGTCTCAAAATTTAAAAACTATATAAATAGAAAGGACTGGGCAATTGTCTCCACAGAAAGACCCAGATTCAGCCCCCAAGAGCACACATGTGCACACACCAAATTGCCCACTGCAGCTCTTCCAGTATAAGCTGCTGGGCCTCGCATGGACGATCATCACCTTCCTGTCCTTGTTTTTCCGGCACATTTTCTTCTCCATGTAACAGTACAAACTTTGAACTCCCCACTCCCCACAGCCTTGTCACCTGACTTGCTATCCACTAGTGCACTTAGTTTGTGTGTTCCCTCTGAAGAGTCCAGAGGCAGCTTTGCTCTTACGTAAAACATCCCACCCAGCCACCTCTTCCATCCCTGTCCACCAGCCCACCAGCCTCAGCCTCTGGAACACAGAGAGGGGAGCAGTCATTATTGCCACCTTAATCCGCTCCAAGCACCCGGAAGACAAGGGAACCGGGAAGAGGCAGTGGAAGCAATCCGAGCTCTTGGGGATCCAATGCCTAAGGCTAAAGAGAAACATTTGAATGCCTGGGGCTAAATGGAGGCTTGCAACCCACATCTTGTCATTATAGGCCGACCCTAGATTGTATTTTGAAAATAAAACCAGAGTTGAATATTAGACAAATAATCTTTTAAATATTGTCGAATTATGTTAACTTACTCTCAGTATAAGTGCACAGTAGTTTTTCTTAATCTTGGAAATGTTAACTGCTATCTTTCATAATTTTCACGCCTTATTCTCCTGGAACATCCTGGGGGTTTGTGTTGTAGATTGATTAGAACTGAGGAAAGAGGGACAGCAAGGCTGGATGAAACCAGCCACAAGGGTCTCCCTGAGATTAGTCTCTCTAAGAGAGCCCTGAGCCAGGGAACCTTCTCACATTGAGGACCACAAACAGACTAAGGAATATGCATAAGTAATTTGGTGTAAACAAACTGCTATCTATATTGCCTTCTGACCTTTACCAGCTAGTTTATATATCACTAGTTGGTAACTTCCCAGGTAAAGGAACAGGGCGCCACCTCCAGGAATCTGCTACTACCTTGTCTCCAGCTTGCCTGAATTACATGGAGCCAGTTTCCTTAGGCTCTGTTCTTTTTTCCTTGCTCCCTCGGTGCAGTAAAGTTCTGACTCATATCACAACATGTTTATTTTAATATGAGCATCTTCTGCCTGACCGTTGTGCCCAGGGTAACACATTTTAGGCTAAAGACAGAAGATGCCCCCAGAATTCCGCATAAGAACGTTAGCCAGTCAGAGTCACTCTCCTCGAGTTCTGAGGAGAGGAAGTCCCCACCCCAAGTGGATACCCTGATCCATCCCTGTTGGTTGACTTGCTTTGCTTATGGTTTGTTTTTGTTTTGGGTCTTCTTCTTTTTTTTTTTTTCAAAGTTTTATTGATAAACAGATAGCAATGAGACAGTTTCAAATCCAATCAGAATGTTTTGGGTCTTCTTGTGCAGTTCTGGAACTCCCTGTATAGCCCAGGCTGGCCTCAAACTCATGGCTCCCAAGCACCTGGCGAGCTCATCTGCTCTTTCCTTCCCATCTCTGTCCATTTTCCTAACCTCTTGCTCACACTTAACTGTCTTGAATAATGGAACTTTAAGTCTTGCTATTGGGGCCCGAGCTGTGTCTACCTCAGAACAGTTTCTGGCCTGATAGTCACTGCTGTTGGATCGCATTCCCAAATCTTCTTGAGCACCAGTAGTCAACTAGAGCTTAGCTGTGTGTTCTGGAGGTTTCCTTGGCTCCTTAGAAACTTGGTGGTGATTTCTCATAGGGCTTCAGTGGAATCCACAAAAAAGATTTTCCCGTCTGTTAACTTAGAACTTGTGCAGTGCTGTTCACAACAGCAGCAAACCCTGTCAGGCCCAGGAAGTATTGCCAGAGTCCCATAGGTCTCCCAGACAGATAAAAGGAAGTTACTGAGGCACTGTAACAAGCATGCCACACATGTGACCTCCTTCCACCCTCTCAAAAGCTGTGTTTGAATTTGAGACTGCAACTGTCCCTTCCACGGAGAAGTGGCCACAAGGCCCAAGCAGTGGAGTGGTGGAGCAGTGTGAATTTCTGTGTCAAGTAGCAACCCTGGTGCATGTCTGGTATGGATGAGCCTGGCTTTTAGACTTGAGCTAGCGAGCTGGGGTGCAGCTCTGTGGGGGAGCTCAGGCTCAGCAGCCCGGTGCTTTGGCCAGATCCCCAGCCCCTAAAAGATGTTGTTTAGCAATTTGCAAATGGTTTTCAAAGATAGAAAAGCTATGTGGTCCACAGGGCCCCTGAAGCACCTTGAACTGCTCAGAATTTGCACTGCGCTCTGCCATTCTGGGTGGTGGTTTGAATGTTTACTGTCCTTTAACTTACAGGCCCAAGAAGCTAATACTAAAAGCTTTTAAGCAATATTGGTTCATCTTCAAAGACACATCTATAGCTTACTTTAAAAATAAAGAACTTGAACAAGGAGAACCACTAGAAAAACTCAACCTCAAAGGTAAGTGGTTCTGGCCACTAGTATGAATTTCTAAAATCATTATGGTGGTCATCTAATATGGCTGAAGCTCTTAAAACAGAAACCTATCTTCCCAAGACCACCTCTTCCTTCTCCAACTTAGCCCAGGACACAATTTACTTTCACCCCTTCCAGCCACCTCAGGGAAGACCCCAATCAGTTTCTCAGGGATACCTAAACATCCCCTTCAAACCCCTCCAGGCCATAAAAGCCTCAGCCTCCCCTTGTCTAGTCGAGAGAGAATTCCTCATCTTCTCCACATTGTCTCCCATGTCTTCAAAGAAAATAAAGCCCTTTCCCTTCCTTCTCTGCCTGTTTCTCTGCTACTTGGAGAACCTATCAGTAAGATCTTCCTGCAGTCTTCTTCCCAGGGCTTCACTGGACTCTGCAGGCAGCCTAGGCCAGCTGCGTCCTGAAGCAGGTGGAGGCTGCCTTGGAGGAGCCTGCGAACCCCACTCAGAGGCAGCTTCTCTTGCCCACAAGGTGTTGGCCTCAGAAGTGGAATAGCAAACACGTGTTCTTACCCTGCCCTCCATTCCTTCCCAGTGTGCCTGGGGCCTAGGATGAGGGGCCACTGTGTCCACTGGTGAGCTTTCTGGATTCAAAGGCAGTTGCCTCTGGGCTGGGGTGTGGCCCAGGCATACAGTGAATCCTTGGTGTATGTGGGGTTCGATCCGCAGCACCCCCACAAAGCAGAAAGGGCCAAGAACACTTCTATTTAATGCACCACTTTAGCACCTATTCCAATTTTGGAAAGCGACTGTGAGCACACTATGCGGGGACTGTCCATGAGCTGAAGCGTCTCACCAATGCTCAGCTCCCCATCCTCAAGACAATCAGAGAACAACCTCTGCTTTGATCTCTTAACATTCGTGTTCAGAATTCTTCCTGAAAGTTAGGACAGCCAATACTATCCTGGAAAAAAAATGAATTCCACACATTCTTTTTTATTTAAGAAAATCACTTTCCTTTATCCATGGTAAATTGTTCCTAAGTCTTACTTAGTTTTCCTTTCTTTCTCCATTTCTCAAATGAAAGCCAAATTAGAAGGGGCTTATATCTTTGTTAAAGTCCCTGTTTCAGATGTATCCTGGGTGTGGGCAAGACAGAGTCCTCAGAACCATGTCATCTTCTGTCCTTCAGGCTGTGAAGTTGTGCCGGATGTGAATGTAGCAGGGAGAAAATTTGGAATCAAGTTACTCATCCCTGTTGCTGACGGCATGAACGAAGTGTGCTTGAGGTGTGAGCATGTAAGTGAAGAGTAAGCCCGCTCTTTCTGTGTCTGTTTCTGCTACGCAGTCCAGGCTGACCTTGAGTGCATGGCAAACCTCCTGCCCCAGCCTCCCGAGTGCTGGGACTGCAGGCACGTGCCACCATGTCCAGCTAAGAATAAACCCATTCAAAATTGAAAATACTGTTAAGTCAAAAATGTGTTGATTACAGCTATCCCTCCAGTTCCCCTGCTTAACCTCCTTAAACATACTCAGAACAGCTCACGCTATTCTTTGCTTGCAAGGTGACAGTGTGTTTCAGAGCCCCAGCCCTGCTGTGTTTGGGACCAGGTGGCTTTGAGTTCGAACTTCTATTCTCAGCCTCTGGGGTTCATTGCAGGAGACTCAGTACGCCCGATGGATGGCTGCCTGCATCTTGGCGTCAAAGGGCAAAACCATGGCAGACAGCTCCTACCAGCCCGAGGTCCTCAGCATCCTTTCGTTTCTGAGGATGAAAAACCGGAACTCGTCCTCTGAGATGGCTTCCAGTCTCGGAAGCATGGACATGAACCCAGAGTGTTTTGTGTCCCCTCGGTGTGCCAAAAAGTACAAGTCTAAACAGGTACTGCTGTTTTCCTGGGGCCAGTGTTTGGATGAATTCTTTATGTTCTGAAATAAAAGAACCGCACTGGATTCAAGACGTTATAATGAGAATTTGGCAATCCATTGGGTATTAGATGGTACAACATGACTGCAGTTACTGTGGTTGGAGGTGACGATACGGCTGCCTGAACATGCTGATGATCCCAACTTAACCATGAGCTTAACTTTGAGTAAAACTGCCAGGTGTTGTAGCACACATGCTTTTAATCCCAGCCCTCGAGGGCTGAGGCAGGAGGATCACTGTAAGTTCAATGCCAGGCTGGACTACATAGTGAACAAGGCCAGCCTGAACTACATAGTGAGATCCTGTGTCAAAAAATCTGAAAAAAAGAAGAAATGAAATTATATTTATTTCCCACAAATGAAAATTATGCTTCCTTAAAAGTGGGTTAGAAAAAAAAAAAATTGGGTTAGGAGCCGGGGAGATAGCTCAGTGGAATAAGCACTTGCCTGGCAAGTGAAAGGACCTGAGTTCAATCCCTGGTTCTGCAAAAAAAAAAAAAAAAGTGGGTTAAATGCTGGACCGATGATTTTATTCAAGTAGAGGCTTGAATCTGGGACCATTCCATGGCCCTGAGAAAGAGACACAGATCTCTTCATCTGCATAAATGTTCGAGGCCCATGTATGGGCCTACCTTGCTCCTCCTCCTCTCCAGTGATTTTTTTTGTGTGTGTTTTCTAGAGAAAAGAGAGGGAAGGAAGGAGGGAGAGTGGCCTGCCTTTGGAGAGCTGCAGTCAGGCTGCGGCTGTCACTCCCATGGGGGCCCTGGGGTCAGAGGGACAGGGACAAAGCATCGTGAGCGCCTAGGAGGGTTCAGTGCTTCCTGTTTCTGTTCAGCTGGCAGCTCGCATCCTGGAAGCCCACCAGAACGTGGCCCAGATGTCCCTTATTGAAGCCAAGCTGCGCTTCATTCAGGCCTGGCAGTCCCTACCGGAGTTCGGCCTCACCTACTACCTCGTCAGGTGACTGCAGCCTTCCCTCGCCTCTCCCACTTCCTTTCAATTCGGGGTGGCTTTCTGGAAACCCAATTTCTTCTTCAAGATGGCAGAGTTTCTTCTTTTAAAATACTGTCCTTTCCCATACAGCCCAAACCCTTTTGGCCACTCATAAAAATCTTCTGAGCCTGCTGTTCCAACACCAGCATCGCCCAAATGGCAAGCTGTCAAGGAGAAGTGTTCAAATGTCTAAATGTTTATTCTTTTACCATAACTACCTTGAAAAACATCAGCTGCTGATTTTGTACTATTGGAAGTCTCTGACTTTAATTCACATAGGGTTGTGTGTCCCACCTCATCTCGCAGCGAGGCTTTGCAGAGGCTCCAACAAACCCTGTCATAACACCTCACCACCAGAGGGTGCAACCCTCCTTCTGTTGCACTCTGATGGTTTCTGCGGAAGGTGGTTTTTGGAAGTGGCACATCCATTGCTCTCTTTGTTTTATAGCAATGACAGTGCTGAGATAAAAAAAAAAAAAACAATGACCCACGCACGTGTACCCTGTAGTGAGGGGCCCAGCCTAGTGTCCTCCGTGGTTGTGCTGCCCACCACACAGCAAATGCCTTCCCAAAATAGCTCCCTTGCACGCTTGTAAATTGAATTTTTTTTTTTTTTTTTTTTTTTGTAATTCAGCCAAAAAACGTTGCTAGAGCAAAATTTGCACTTAAACTTACAATATAGAAGTGACTGTTACTTTCTCACTTTATTATTTAGGAATAGGAGGATTGGCTTGTCTTTGTAAAAACTGATTTATACAAAAGCACAGTTTGCATTATTTTCTTGCCTCTTTGTCGAAGATCATTTTCCTTAATCTATGCTAATGAGCATTCATGCAGACTTTTCTAGTCCCTGAAGCACCTCTTTCAACTGCTGTCCTCAGAGTTTGTCCCAAACAGGCAACTCCTCCTGCTTTATTTACCTGAGTAAGAGAGGGCAGAGTTGTGCTGGACACCACAAATGCCCACATACACATGTCCATGTGTACCACATATTCACCTGTGACTTGTTGATTGGTTGGTTCTGTGAGACCAGGTTACACTATGTAGTTCGGGTTAGCCTTGAACTCACTATGTAGCCCAGGTTGGCCTTGAAATCCTGGAGATCCTCCTGTCTCAGCCTCTCGAGTGCTGGGATTACAGGTGATCACCATCACACCGATCTCCTATAGTTCTGAAGCCAGCCCCCAGTAGCAGAAAGAACATGGACACTTGAGCCAACCAGGTGGAGCATCCAGTCCCTCCTCTGCCTCTGCTAGTGGCACGGCCCTGAACATTTCTGCTGAACTCCCCAAGCGTGGGCTTCTGCGCTTGCTCAGTGGGTGGCTGCCCCTGCTGAGAACCCAGAGACACAAAATAAGTTCTGTGTCTGATAAGCGGTGAAGTGTGGTGGGCCTGAGCAGGCTCCTGATGAGTTGCTCCCTTACCCTCCCATCCCTTCGTCATCTGATCTGGAATATTTATTTCATTTGTTCGTGATCCTTACTCCTACCTCTCAGTCCCAAATCATCTTTCTGTGCAGCCCCCTATGTGCCCCCCCCGCCTAGAAAGGTGCCTGGTCCACAGAGCTGTGCTCATGTTGAATGGATTGATTTGGCTCTGCCTGGTTTCACTTTCCTCTGAGATCAGTTTCACTCTGCAGTCTCCTTAACTGTCTGCCCTCTTCATAGTCTCTGTTGAGGTAAAAGGTCTTCCTCCTGTGAGTTTGTCCCTCATGTCCTTTCCTGAAATAATTTAGAAATGTTAAAAAAATAATAATAATTTAGAAATGTTATTGACTATTCTTTAAGAAGTTGTATATGAATATACAGTTGCTTCTCTAAATCAGTTTTTTTGCTTTCTTGGTTTTTTTTCTAGATTTAAAGGAATCAAGAAAGATGACATTCTGGGAGTTTCATATAATAGGTTAATCAGAATAGATGCGGCTACTGGGATTCCGATTACAACGTGGAGATTCACCAATATGAAGCAGTGGAATGTCAACTGGGAAATCCGGCAGGTGAGGCGAGGTTTCTGGTAGCCAGTGTCTTGTTTGATTTTGTTTCTGCAGGGCTGGAGATGTGACACAGGACCTTGCATGACCTAGACAGGAGCTCAGCCACTGCGCTGTGCTGCACTTCGAGGCCAGTAATATTCAGTTACCAAGGTCTCACAAAGTCTGAGTTGCCCAGGACGGGCTCAAACTTGCAGTCCTCCTGCCTCAGCCTCTCAGAGTGCTGGTGTTATGCCATGTGCCACCACACCTAGCTTACAATCTTTTTTAAGGACACTTGTGTTTTTTTTGTTTTTGCCAGCTCATGTAGTGCTAGGGATCGAACTGCAGTCCCCTGTGCCTGCCTAACCTTGCCTAAGAAGGTGCTTTAGCCCACTGAGCTATCTCGCTGGCCCCTTCTTGTCTTTCTTTC